CAAAGGAGGCCTACACGTGGACCGTCCAGTCCCGCGAGTGGGTGAGCGTGCCTCCTGTCCACTACACCGCGATGCCGGCGTAGGAGGCGGCCAACCTTGAGCGCTGGAAGGCGCACTGGCTCGCCCAGGAGCAGGCCGACGGCGAGCGGCAGATGCACTATGAGCAGATGCTGCGATGCGACGCGGAGGCGCTGCGGCTTGAGGAGGAGGAGCAGGAGCGCACACGGTTGGCCACAATGCCGCCGCCTGAGCAGACGCCGGAGAAGGCTGCCCTGGCAGCGTACCAGGCGGCGTTCGGGTGGGCTGGCCCTGCTCCCATTTTTATCGAGCTCACCGGTGATGGCGACGTCGAAGTCAAGGGCAAGGGCAAAGCCGGCGACGTCTGGGGCATCGTTTAATTAGGTTTAAGTGGACTTTGGCCGGCAGTTGACCGGCCATTTATGTTTAATTATGTTTATTTCCGTGAGCTGTTTTTTTTCACGCCGGCACATTCGGGTCTGCCTTCCGTTGAACGGTCAAGGCAATCCATTTGAGAATGCGGACGTGCACGTCCGTCTGGCCAACCCAAACGAACGAAAAGCGGACAAATCGCGCGTCCATTTGGTCCCCGTTGGAGTTGCTCTCACTCCTTTTCTTACACGAATGAAAAAGAGAGAAAAAAACACCCATGATGAGAATACCAACTCTCCGACCCAGCTAACCCCACGACCTGTATTTCTATAGCTGGAGCAGTCAGCTCATCTACTCCATGCACGCAGCAACAGCAAAAGTGTGAGGAGGAGCGCGCGCAGCAGGACCAGCAGCGGAGCGGGACGTGTCACGCCGATCCGGCCTCTTTATTGTTCGCACGCCTTCCCCCCCTCGACTCCACCGTTGGCGCCCCTCCCGCCCGCCCCTCCCTCTCAAAAGTAAACCCCTCCCTCCTCTTCCCCCTGCTCAGAACCCAACGGTCACTCTTCCCCATCGACCAACCAACCCGGCAGCCCAGCCACCCACATTTTCCCAAGCCTTCGTCTGCCACTGCTTCCGATCGCTCCACAACCGAGACCAAGACGCCAAAAAGAGGCGCACAGAAACGCTCGAACCACCACACGCGCGCGCGCGCCAATTTGTCTGCTCCTCGATCGCCACGCGCGGAGCCTAACCCGGCCGCCGGTCGAGGCACGGAGCGGCAACGACGACACGGCACAGTAGATCTGCCACGCACGCGCGGCTGCTGGGGCTCGGTCCGATGGGGAGCGGGGAGGAGGAGAGGGGCGGCGTGAGCGAGGCCGCCTTCACGGACTCGGCAGACGGGAGCAGCTCCAGCTCCGACGCCGCCTCCACCGACGACTGGCCCGCCCTCGCGCTCGCGCCCAAGAAGACGCCGCCCTGCAGCGGCGTCCCCGACGCCGAGTTGAACGGCAAGCAGAAGCGCAGAGCTGGGCCAGGTACACGCGCTTCCCACTAGTCTAGTCTGTCAGAGCCTCAGAGGCGAAGCAACTCTGAAACAACAATGTAGGTAGGTGCTGGTGCTAATGTTAATGTGTGCATGCATGGCGTGCAGAGATGGAGATGATGAAGGAGAGGTTCGCGAAGCTGCTGCTGGGCGAGGACATGTCCGGGAGCGGCAAGGGCGTCTGCACCGCGCTCGCCATCGCCAACGCCATCACCAACCTCTGCGGTCAGTGTTCCACCTTCTTCTCAATTGCTCCATGAGCTCGAAGGGAAGGGTTGTTAGTGTCTTAGTGAGATGTTGTTCTTCCGGCGCTGCGCAGCTACCATCTTCGGGCAGCTGTGGAGGCTGGAGCCGCTCCCACCGGAGAAGAAGGCCATGTGGCGGCGGGAGATGGACTGGCTGCTCTGCATCAGCGACCACATCGTCGAGCTCGTCCCCACCTGGCAGTCGTTCCCCGACGGAACCAGGCTCGAGGTACAGTACCAACCAACATTTCAACCAGTGCTAGTACAATTTTCAGCCTACGGATGCAGTAGGCCTGCTGAAATCACGAGCCGAAAGTTCAAAACGGTGGATCAAATGTCTTCGCCTGTCAGTCCGGGTGAATGTACATTTGATTATTGAGCACCGCCAGTGCACGAGAACAGTCGATGATAGGGACTTTAGTAGCACATGGACCGCTAGAAACTCGCTATTAAGCACGCATTTACTCCCTCTGTTTTAAAATAGATGACCCAACTTTATACTAGCTTTACTCACATAAACGGAGGGAGTAGTACAAAGTTGGGTCATCTATTTTGGAACGGAAGGAGTAGCAGCCATGGCACCCACATAAACGGAGAGAAATGTTAGGTGCGCCTATGATTTTTCTGATGGAAACGAAACTTTGCGGTTGTGGTGCCATGCTGTTGTGCTCGCGAAATTTGTTGCCGGATGAGAGCAACTGCCCGTGCTGTCTTAATTATCTGACAGCAAAGGGTAGCAGTTTAATTAAAACGCCCGATAGAAGATGCCATGCTGGTGATACGAGGTATTTGTATGAGTACGATAGTGACTCCACAATGGTAATGAAGCAAAAAAACAAACCAAATCTCCAGTACATATAATAGTCCACTGCAATGAGTCGATTGAGAAATCTAGCCACATGTCGTCGTACCATGCGATTGCTCTTTGACAGAGTGGATCAGCGTGCTCCTAAGGCATAAGGAATAGTGATGGGTGGACCTACTGGCTTACTGCATATGCATTACAAATCAAACATGAATGATGATTTTTTTATCAAAGTTCAGCTTTCACCTCTAAGCAACTGACTTACACGTTTTCTGGGTCCTTCGTTTCAGATCATGACAAGCAGGCCACGATCAGATTTGTACATCAATCTGCCCGCACTTCGGAAGCTAGACCATATGCTCCTCGTGAGTTCTCCCAGCTGTGAATTCACCGCACAAGCAATCTGAAAAATTCAGCAACATCTAACAACATCATCGACACTTGACAGGAAATCCTGGACAGCTTCAGGGACACTGAATTTTGGTACGTCGACCAAGGGATTTGCGCGGCGGACTGCGACGGCTCTGCCTCGTTCCGGGCGGCCTTCCACCACCGGGACGACAAATGGTGGCTGCCGGTGCCTCGAGTGCCACCCGGGGGCCTCCGTGACAAGACGAGGAAGCAATTGCAGCACAAACGCGACTGTGCGAACCAGATCCTCAAGGCTGCTATGGCCATCAACAGCAATGCCTTGGCTGAGATGGATGTCCCTGTATCATACCTCGACTCTCTGCCAAAGGTATATTACCATCATCTACTTTCAGTACGCAATATTCAGCAATGTCTCTTACTCACAGCTTGCTGGAACAATTTTATGGATGCTAGAACGGGAGGGCGACTTTGGGCGACGTGATATACCGCTACATAACGTCGGATCACTTCTCCCCCGAGTGCCTTCTCGACAGCCTAGACCTGTCGACGGAGTACCAAGCCCTGGAGATTGCCAGCCGTGTCGAGGCGTCGGTCCACGTGTGGCGCCGCAGGGTTCCTGCGAAACCGGTGAACGGCTTAGGCCGTACCGCCAGCGCCAGCGCAAGGTCCTGGAGCATGGTGAGAGACATGCTGATGGATTCGGAGAAGAGGGAGCTGCTCGCGGAGCGAGCAGAGGGCCTCTTGATATGCCTGAAGCAGAGGTTCCCTGCCCTGACGCAGACAAGCCTGGACATGAGCAAAATTCAGTACAACAAGGTTTGTGCAAGTGTCCCTTTGTCCGTCTGTCCTCCCACCCATTTGCCTGTCAACAACTGAGTTCACTCACCCTACTGCGTGGTGCACAATTTTCAGGATGTGGGCAAGTCGATCTTGGAGAGCTACTCGAGGGTTCTGGAGAGCCTGGCCTCGAACATCGTGGCGCGCATCGACGACCTTCTCAACATCGACGAGCTGAACAGACATGTGGAGCAACTGTCAACGGGTGAAGCAGACCTGAAGATGGCCTGTGGCAGGGCCGTGGTGCCACCCTACCAGCAGGTGCCTGCCTCGGGCACACCGTTCGTGACGGCATACGCCACGCCGAGCTTCTCCCCGGGGCGCCTGTCGAGCCCGAGGACCTCGGTTGGTGCCGGTAGGCGGTCTCAGGGCAACAGGGCCGCCGCCGCGGCCAAGAAGGCCTTGACGGACCATCTCGGCCCGTCGGAGGTCAGGGGGATGATCATCGTGAACCGAAGCACCATGATCGATGTCTCGACGACTACTGATCTGTAAAGCTAGGCCGGTGGACGGCTCCTAGAATTGCCAGGGACCAGCCTGCCGGTCTCTCTGTGCATAAGTGTGTCCTATATTTGTGCCCACGTTCTTACTGTATTTTTAACTCTTAGTGCTTAGCTATGGAGTACCGCTGCTGCTTCTTTCTGCGAGAAGAAGCTGCTATGTATTGTTGCTTGCCTTCAAAAGAAGAATGAAAAAGGAAAACGAAGTGTCCTGCTGTTTGCAGACCTCGTGATCAGATTCAGATAATATCATGATTTGAGACTTCAGTTTGCCTGCTAAATCTTCAGATAATTACCTGCACCAGTTAGTTGGATTGGCACAGACTTCCAGTTAAAAGTGAAAACCTGCAGCTTCTACTGCCGTTTCAGGTACCTGAAGAACCGGAAAGGCAGTGTGGCTTGGTGCTCGCGTTTTCAAGAACTCCGGCCAGTGTTCGCAGCGCCGACATACCCGTAATGATGGCGAGCCGAATCTTTCCATCGCAAGGCCATACGTGGCCGATCTCCAGCGTAGTGGAGCGCAGTAGGTAGTGCTCGAAATGGAACTACGGAGGGCTCAGTGCACGCGCGCGGGCAAAAGAGAAGTGAACGGAGCGGTGGTGCACCCTCCACTCCGGGCCTTCCACACCATGTTACCCGGGCGAAATCTTCACGCGGCCATCGATGGCCTCCATCCACCAATCCACCATGACCCGGAGAGGTGTATATATACCCTGGCCGAGGCACCGAGAAGATCACCATCCGTCCATCCGAGTGTGCACTGCAGAAAGAGAACCGTGAAGCGTAGCTGCAGCTGAGGAGAGATGGAGTCCAAGGCGGCGAGGTGCCTCTGCATGCTGGCGATGCTCCTGGTGGCCGGGCTCGGGGCGGCGCGCGGCGCCGGGGAGTGCGGCCGCGTCCCGGCGGACAGGATGGCGCTCAAGCTGGCCCCGTGCGCGGCGGCCACGCAGAACCCGCGGGCCAAGGTGGCGCCCGGCTGCTGCGCGCAGATACGCAGCATCGGGCGCAGCCCCAAGTGCCTGTGCGCCGTCATGCTGTCCAGCACCGCCCGCCAGGCCGGCGTCAAGCCCGCCGTCGCGATGACCATCCCCAAGCGCTGCGCCCTCGCCAACCGCCCCATCGGCTACAAATGCGGCCGTAGGTTCATTTATTCTGATAATGTTCGATCGTTTCTTCTGTAGCTGCTCTGTCCCTTGGAGCCATCATCGTTTGCTTTGCTCTGTTTTTCTGTGCAGCATACACCCTGCCATGAGGAGCATACACTCTTGGAACTTCTGGAAGAGCAGATGGCATACACCTGATGCCATCTTTGTCATGTGGAACTTTTACTTGAATCTTTTATGAATAAATAATGTGGTTGTAATGCCCCTGTTGGAATATAATATAGTGAAGTACCTTCCCAAATCTTATGATATATTGACAAGAACACTTCCCAAACTTATATGAAGTTCCAACAGTACCGTTTTAATAGTACAATGTAAATGATCTCTGCTTCTCCAGCGCTTCTGGTCTGGAGAGAGGATCAGACGGTACAAGCAGGACAGGTTTGATACTATGTATAGGAGTCAGAGACCAGACTGCCCAGGTTGGGCGGAATGGAATAGGGACCCTTTATGCAACCTGACACCAAGTTCTAGGTACTTGTAGGTTCATTACATTTCACAGCTAAAGCACAAGCTATGGAATAAGAAGAAGGTAAAGGCACACACAGACACACACACAGCATCTGCCCAGGAGTGATGATGCATCCAAATACTGCCACCACCGATGAGCGAATGTTTCTCCACTATGTAAGGTATATAACTGCTATCAAGGAAATTAGGTTCCACACCTCTCCCCTTCGATTTCCTGCCAACAGTGGTGAAACAGAACGGTGAGGAAACGATCCAATGACAATGATTTAGGTAGATAAAAATCATCACCAGGAGACGCAAAACATTCCGCAGCTTTGCTACGTCTGATAACTTGGTTCTGACTATGTTGCCATCACTGGGGCTCTAGGGAACCTTAGTTAAAAACTAGGATTCACACAAGTTGCTTAAAATGCCTTTTTTAGAAATTCAGTACTTGTTTTACGATAATACAAAAATATGATGATCCCCAAGAGTGATTTACACTACGGCCTGAGTCGTATCCTCTTTTCGAGTAATTCTGTTTCTCAAAACGAAAGTAATGGTATAGCAAGCAATCCAACTTAAAGGAACAGAGAACGAAAGTAATGGCATAGCAAGCAATACAACTTAAAGGAACATCCCCACAAGTGGTGAGCATACTTCTGCTGTTGCTTTCTCACCCAAACTGAACTGGATACAACGCTAGGTCCTCAGACTACATTTAAGGCAACTAATTGTTTGACCCTAAACTCCCTAAACGTAGTGATTATGACATAAAAAGTAGGGCGTTAACTACGGTTTTTACCCAGGACGTTACTATTCTTCCAAGTGATCTTTGTTATCTTATCTCAACCACAACTACATCATTGTACTGTACAGCAACCCCACAGCTAGTTACTTAGAGAAAAATAATTTGCCATTGACGTTAAAGCCTTGACACTGGCAACACGGGTGAATAAATAAAAGTTCTTCGTATATGGTGATATTATAAATAGGGAAGGAAGAGAAGAAATATACTCTCTAGAGAACTGGGAGAAGAATTTGGGTTTGGGCAATTTTAATTTTTTTTTTTTGAATTTTGGTTTGGGCAAATTTCACACAGACAGGTGAGAGTGTGAAATATTTCACATCACTAGTAACTAAATTCTATCCCATATTAAGCTTCGAGTAATTCAAAGTTTACTACTGTATGTATTAACTATTCTGACTTCTGAAACAAAGTATGCGACAATATGTTCGCTTTCTGATAAAGATCAGCATCTGTGAACACGATAACTGATGCGGAGGCGAAGTGAGCAAAAGTGGATATCAGTTGCTCAGGTGGGCATACGCCCCCCTATCGCTTTCCAGACAATTATCGATTGCCTATGTAAGCTGAATAATGTATAGCATATCACAAGTAAGCAGAGAGCAAGACCAAACCATAATAATGTAACCAATTTCCAATAGCTAGTAAGGTCCTTGTTTTTACCTTGTTCGAAAAGGGAGAGGACACCAAGCTCTTGCTTAGTAGTAAAACGAGCCTGGTAACAAAATAAATAAATACATCAGTCAACCATATAACTCAATCATAACATATGTCCAAACAGCTTCAAAAATAACATATGTCCAAATATACAACAACATTATACCTTGCCACCAATCGCCATGAGAATCTGCGACAGGATCCTTCTTATCCACCTTGTACTGAAACGAAAAACAAAAGCGTTCAAAACCTTGGTTGCCTAAAGTGCTGATTAAAAAAAGTGAAAGTACTTGTGAACTATAAGCATGAGTTATGCTTTTTGTTTAGCAATTTCTTACATCACTGTATTCCGCGGATTGCTTAGGTGCAGAGCTGCCATAATATTCTCGGCCACCATAGTGCACAGAAGAACCAAAACAAGATGATGTACCAACCGAGTCATACTTGATATCCTTGGTATATGTTGTGCGGCCCCTAGCAGGACTCCACTGGGATTTACCATCTGTAAGACAAATCAATATGTTGGTCATTTTTCTGTCGTTGCATTTCTCAGTGATTCAAACCAAGCAAGATAGATCACCAAGACGATATTACTTTACGAAAGAAACAACCCATAATGTGTTGACATGACTAACAGCAGAGTTTAGCGCTTAGGGTTGTGGCGTTTGTTGTGATTGAAACTGGCCTACTCGTAGGCTTGTCAATTTTTTCCTTCAATTATATAATGCATAAAGATGCAAGGCTTTTGCACATTCTCAAAGATTTTTTTTTGAGGGGACAAGAATAAGAAATAGAAATTTCTGGTTGGTTGAAGATAGCCAACATGTACACGCTGTACTTGAGCTTGTACAAGTATGAAAATTGCAACCAAAGATGAAGGCTCGAAAGTTTCAAAACTTATATGGCAGTGAAATTATATCTCTTCTCCTTTTGAAAGTAAAGGTAGGTGGGCTTTGCTGATCAACTGATGCAGACAAGAGTTATACATGCTTTAAATGCTTTTGTGATTTTCTTTCGAGGGATTAAATGTTTTTGAGTTTGGAAATTTTCCAACGCTTCCTCGGCACTAAGTAACCTGCTATTTCTTGAAAGAGAAAACAGTTCATTGATATAGATGTGTGACGTACTATTCCGTTCCATTTCCACGGTAGTACTAGTACCGGAATGGCAAAAAGGAGAATATGAGACGAGACGAGACGAGAGGAGAGAGTTGTGCAACTACCTGTCATGCTAGCCTGAGCATTGCCGTTCTGCCCCTTGAAGAGAATGGCGTACAAGTCCTGCTCTTTGCCGTTTACCTTGAAAACAAAACAAAAAGGGGAAACGTCCAAATTAGATGGCAACATCACAATATGCATCCTTCACCCGTAAGAAAACATCACAGCATGAATCCCCCAAATTAATAAGGCTTATTACAACGGGATACTCTAAGATAATCGGTATCCACTTGGAGAGACGGGCGTATCTAGATCAAAAGTCTACCAAAATTCTCGCATATTCACTCCAACAGACGGGGCGTCATACGAAAACTAAAATCATAGCGCGAACGAGGAAGGATCAATAACAAGACAAATCCGATCTAGCAATCAAGGGCCTGCCCGTCTGCCCCGCCGCAATCACGCGAGAGATCACGTCGGGCGGCAGCACGGACGCCGGCCACCGAACCACATAGTGACATAGACATAACACCGAACAGGGAGAAGGCGTGAGGAAAGAGACGGGTACCCCGTGCGGCGCCGGGTGGAACAGGCTGCTGAGCGGCGAGTCGGCGATGGCGGCGTCGGCGGCGGCAGCGCGGGGAGGCGACTTCTTAGTCGCCGCGCGCGGCTGGGGCTGCGCCTGGGGCGAGGACCTCTTGGGCTCCATTTCGGGGGACGGACGGACGGACGGAGAGGAGGAGCTGCCGCTGAGGATTAGGGCACGTGAACGGGGCGGTTGTGTCGTAGGCGGCGGCGGGAGGAGGGAGGAGGAGACGGGGAGTCTAGGCAAGCGCTACTGCTCAACTACTCGACTCGTGGCGGTCTGCTCCGGCCTCCATGCGTGCCCCGCATTTAAAGGACCCGGGCCGGGGGGGTGTGGGCCGTCATTACGTGGATCTCGAGGGGCCTACGCGCGAAACTGTGGCGGATAGATGCCCGCCCCTCGGTAGTGAACGCGTCGCGCCGCCGTTCAGGTTCAGCAGTTGCCGTCGGCCGGGCCGCGGTGGCGAACGTGGGTAGGTGTGCCGCCAGTCGGAGGGAGGAGACGACGGGCGGCGGCGAAAAGGACGTGACGCTGATACACGACGGAAGAGACCCATCGCCGGACGTCTCCGTTCGTTGTACTGCACCGGGTCGAGCTCGACAGAGGGGGGAGGCTTTACGGCGCTGAGTGTGCTGACGGGAAGCTGGACTGACGGAACGTATGTCCATGACACGTGGGCCCGTGGGACGGAATTCCGTCGAAACTAACGTGGGTTGGGGTTCTGTGCAAAGACCAAAAGGGCGTTCGTTTTTTTTTCTTTTTTTTTCGGGGAGAAAATGGAATCCTCTGAATGGAGAAGATCTAAAATTAAATGTAGAATATCCTCTTGATAGAGGATTCGTAAATCATTAAATATGGGTGATCCAAAATTAATGCCATGTCATATTCAGTGGATCTCCATGTAGCTGGATTTGCAGAAAAGGTAGGTTGGTTGCACCGAACGAACAAACGAATATTTTGAGGGAGATTTGGGTGTTTATATATATATATACAAAATAAAGTGGAAAGGGGCTCTATAGGATTAATAAACCTTCAAATTTCTATGATCTTTCGTCCAAAGGAGGGTTGAAGTGTGATTCTTTTTTATGGTGTTACATAGAACTTGTAACAAAATATAAGCCTTTGCTTTGTAAGAACCTATCCTATATAAATTGAGTGCTAAAGGCGCAAACACAAAAGGGACATATAAACTCTAAAATGTAAATAACGTCAGGGACTACTGGTGTAATAAGTCACTCAACAAAGACTCAACCTCAATAAAGATTGTATCACTTGCAAAGATAATGCTTCTTGGGCTCAATGTGGAACGGAGTATCTGACTTCTTGCTTCAAACTGGGACTACTAAATAATATATCTTTTTTCAAAAAAAAACTAAAGAATATATCCAGTGAAGCGGCTGTATAAACGGTAAGAGCAAGAAGGAGACGACATGTCATCGTGATGGTGCGGCGTGACCTACAAAGCAATGCTAGAAACAAACAGGTGATGCGACTAGTGGTGGCGTAGAACTTCCACGAATGAGGATGAGAACATGTAGGAGATAATGCAACACATAAGGACTATACGTCGTAGCTTGAGACTAAGGGTGTGTTTGGATGGTGACCAACATACATCCTACCAACGTTTTTGTCGTGACTAAAATTTTGGTCTATGTTTGAGTGGCTACCAATTTTTCAATTTGCCAATGCTTGTATGTCACTCTAGTCTTTTTTTTGCCAATGTTGACCAATTCACGGGGAAGCAAAAGCTCCACCAAACTTTGGCTAGCCAACTATTTGGTAGCGCAAAACTAGGCTAAACCAAACATACCCTAATCCTTGGGGATCGCCTCCCTACTTCCGATACACGTGGAGAAACGAAAGAATGACGTGATCCAAAGAAATGTCTAATTGTGTCCCCCATCAAGGACAATTATGTAGAAAACAAGAACTATGACTGCCAAATTTGGTAAACTATTTTTTATTAAACTTTAAAATCATGTTTGCAAGTACCTTTCTGAGTATACGTGTATTATAGGCAACCTCTCATATATATGAAGGGAAATGCAACATTTCTAGTGCAAATATGGAATATTATGAAACAAGTTATTTACCACATTTTGTAAAACATTGGATGTTGAGTGAGTTTCGTTTATACAATTGAGAAGAACATTGTCCCTTTTTTGGAGAAAATTTATGAGAACAATCACGAATGCACACGAATCATGTATGCCGCTTGCAACATCTGGCTGCTTATGTACTATAGAAACACAATAGATTTCAACTTGAATAGCAACTATAATTTTTCTAGTGTGAGTAGCAATTATACATGCATACTCTATTGTGTGATATGCAACAGTCAAATGTTTGGAAAAAATATGGCAATACATGTTATATCAATAATTAAATTTTAAAACATGTACATGCTGCGAGTGTGCTTTTTTTTTTTAAAATTAATAGAGGAATAACAACCGGACCAAGATAGAGACAAAAATTGTAGATCAGTGATAACAAACACCTAACAACTGGACCCAGAGAGAGAGAGAGACAAAAATTGTGAAGTGGTTTATCAAACTTGCAACTAGGACCCCAAACAGAGGAAAAGGAATAGAATCGGGACCAGATCTGTCCCCTGACAGAACTAATCTCGCTGGTGCCGAAGATGAAACCACTTGGCTCGAAGAAACTTCCATAACACCATGCCATGTATTCCTTCCTAGAGCAGCACCGCCACCCCTTTGTCATCATCACAAAGAGTAATAAATCGGGCCGCCTTTTGGCCACATAGCACGATGGATTATCGAAGGAGGCGACCATTATCCTCCATGGGCACCATAGCTCCTCCAAAACCACTGTCAATTATGCGCTTGAATCCTATCTGCAACATCCATCACCATGTATCTCCTTCACTGACTCTACATCACCACAATGGAATCGTTCATCGAGCAAGAGATGGAGGTCCTCTGGCAGATCAGGTATGGAAGCAATCTTTCAGAAAGCTCATATCCAATGAGACATCGAACCCGAGCCCCACCGAGATCTTCCACCAACTCTACCCCCGTTAAATCGGCATAGTGGCTCAGCCTGGAGCGACGACACACTTATTAGAAGAGGCGACACCCGGTCCATGGTCCACCATACCCTCCGCCATGGAGGTGGATAGGAACACCACACGTATGGACACCGCTTTGTTTTATGCTAGTAGCGGTGGATAACACCTGAACGTTATGGTGCTAGTCACCAAGGAGAAAACTCAAGGCATGCACCTCAACCCTACACTACCATGCACATGAGGAATTGATGTCTACTACACAACTTATTCTTGTAGACTCGTGTTGGGCCTCCAAGCGCAGAGTTCTGTAGGATAATAGCAAATTTCCCTCAAGTGGATGACCTACGGTTTATCAATCCGCAGGTGGCATGGGATGAAGATGGTCTCTCTCAAACAACCCTGCAACCAAATAATAAAAAGTCTCTTGTGTCACCAACACACCAAATACAATGGTAATTTGTATAGTTGCACTAGTTCGGCGAAGAGATGGTGATACAAGCATAGTAATGATAGTAGATATTGGTTTTTGTAATAAGAACAATAAAAACAGCAAGGTAGCAATTGATAAAACGGAGCACAAACGGTATTGTAATGCTTGAAAATGAGGCCTAGGGTCCGTACTTTTGCTAGTGCAATGATACGCCCATTTTGCATCATGTTTACCTATGGTTATTTATATTGTTTTACTGCATAATAATGCTTTTTGGAGTAATTCTAATGCCTTTTCTCTCATAATATGGAAGGTTCACACAAAGAGGGAGGATTCCGGCAGCTGAAAATCCAGACCTGAAAAAGCTACGTGAGGCTACCTATTCTGCACAACTCCAAATGAGCTAAAACTTCACGAGAAATTTTTATGGAATAAATGAGAATTATTGGAGCAAATAAGTACCAGAGGGGGCCCACCAGGTGGGCACAACCCACCTAGGTGCGCCAGGGAGCCCACGCGCGCCCTGGTGGGTTGTGCTCCCCTCGGCCCACCTCCGGTGCCCCTATTCTGGTACTAAGTCATTTTGACCTAGAAAAAAAAATAAGGAGAGGACTTTTGGGACGAAGCGCCGCCGTCTCGAGGCGGAACTTGGGCGGGAGGACTTTTGCCCTCCGGCGGAGCGATTCCGCTGGGGGAACTTCCCTCCCGGAGTGGGAAATCATCTCATCATCATCACCAACAACTTTCCCATCTTGGGGAGGGCGATCTCCATCAACATCTTCAACAACACCATCTCCTCTCAAACCCTAGTTCATCTCTTGTGTTCAACCTTTGTACCGGAACTATAGGTTGGTGCTTGTGGGTGACTAGTATAGTGTTGATTACATCTTGTAGTTGATTACTATATGGTTTATTTGGTGGAAGATTATATGTTCAGATTCATTGTGATATTTAATACCCCTCTGATCTTGAGCATAATTATCATTTGTGAGTAGTTACTTTTGTTCTTGAGGTCACGGGAGAAATCATGTTGCAAGTAATCATGTGAACTTGATATGTGTTCGATATTTTGATGATATGTATGTTGTGATTCCCTTAGTGGTGTCATGTGAACATCAACTACATGAAACTTCATCATATTTGGGACTAAAGGAATGCATTGTGGAGTCGTTATTAGATGATGGGTTGCGAGAGTGACAGAAGCTTAAACCCTAGTTTATGCGCTACCCGTAAGGGACGGATTGGATCCAAAAGTTTAATGCTATGGTTAGAATTTATTGTTAATACTTTTCTCGTAGTTGCGGATGCTTGTGAGGGGGTTAATCATAAGTAGGAGGTTTTTTCAAGTAAGAACAACACCTAAGCACCGGTCCATCCACATACCAAATTATCAAAGTATTTTTATGCGAACACGAATCGAACCAACATGACGAAAGTGACTAGATGAAATTCCCGTGTACCCTCAAGAACACTTTGCTTATCATAAGAGACCGTTTTGGCCTGTCATTTGCCTCAAAGGATTGGGCTATCTTGCTGCACTTTTGTTACCACTCCTGTTACTTGCTCGTTACAACTTATCTTGCTATCAAACTGCTCTGTTACTTACAATTTCAGCACTTGCACACATTACCTTCCTGAAAACCACTTGTCATCCTTCTGCTC